GAAGGCCACAGATGCACAGGCCACATGTGTAGGTACCCACCCACTGCTGTTCCATGCCAGCCCCCTTCAGATAGTCTTAATCCCTCCTATGTGTGCCTGGCCAGGCCTCCTGTCCTGCTGCCAAGCTTGCAGCCCCACTGGGCCCCTGCCTGTGACTCATGCATGGGCACAGCAGTGTCCCCAGGGAGCAGCCCTCACAGCAAGAGCACCCCGGGAGAGACGGGTAGGTGTGGGAGGCGGGGCAGGCCTGGTGGATCTTCACTCACAGCTGGAGTGGCCTGTGCCCTGTGGTTGCTGACCTCAGAGGATCCGTGCTTCAGGGCCTGGACCCTGACTCTCCACTCTCTAGTACTGTCTCCACAGGGGCCTCGGAGGCCCTGGATGGGCTGCCTGCTGTACCCCCGGACCCCACTGGTGCCCTCCTAATGGCCTCTGCCTGTCCTGCCTGGCACTCCCCCCTGCCCGCCCTCATTGGCTGAGTGCCGCTGCAGGCACTGACCCAGGCTGTACTGGCAGATGGCTGCTGAGCCAGGGTGGGGCTGACTTCTGGTGATGGGGGGAGCCAAGGTGGGCCTTCTGGGGTGTGGGGGTCCTTCTCGGGGCCTGTGCCAGCAGGGCAGGGACACAGCCTCAGACTTCGCTCAGAGCAGAACCAGGCTCACAGAAATGGGCTCTGTGCTGCAGATAACACCCTGCGGCTTTGAGAGTGCAGCCAGCAGTCAGGGAAGGGGGCAGAGCAGAGCTGCCCAGTGAAGGATGGGCAGGGAGAAGGCAGAGCCCTGTGGGCCTGGTGGCAGACTGGACACAGGGGCAATATACTAATAAGCTGTCAAATAAACACAGACTCCAGGAGAGCAGTTCACCTGGTGGGCCCAGGTGCCACCCCTGAGCGGGGGTGGACACCCCAAGAGCCCGTCTGCAGCGCGTGCTTGGCTGGGTGGGTCTGTGACTGGCGTTCATGGACAGGTGGGCAGCCCAGGCCCCCGTGGGTGCAGCATGCCTGCCTCTCTTCTCCCTCCCATTCAGCAGTGAGAACATCTGTCCACTCCCAGACTCGGAGGGCTGAGAGCTCAGTGGCGGGAGAGCTGCCAGCTCCATGGGGGCTGCGTGCTGGAGAATTGTACCTCGGCCCTGCACCCTGGCCCTTTGTTCCCTGGTGGCCACCTAGCTGCCTCACGCGCTGTGGGTGCACAGCGGCTGCCTCTGAGGTGGGCAGGAGGCCTGGGTCAGGGACAGGCGGGGGGGGGGGACAGCTGTGCATGCTCACTGACCCTGTGCTGTGCCATCTGCAGCAAGGCAGCGGGCAGGAGCAGGGTGGGTTCTTCAGGGTCAGGGTCAGGGGTTCCACGCCCACAGTGCCCTCCCCCACCATGCATCCATGGGTGCCCTGGCTCTCCCTCCGCCCTCTGCAGAAGGCAGCACTGGCCATGTGACAGATGGCTGCTGACAGCCTACAGCCCGAGAGCCCCTGGCAGGAGCTGACCCACTTTTCCTCGCTGGGCTGGAAGCATTTACGTAACAGACGCCCAGGGCCCTGCTGGCCCCCTGACAGAGATGTTTCTAATTAGGAGGCCCAGAGCACAGACTGGCGCAGCACGGCCCTGCTCAGAGCAGCTGGCACATGGCCTCAGCAGGGCCTCGGTGTGAGCCCCACTCCCTGGCTGCAGGGTGCTGTGGAAGCATGGGGGAGGGGTGACCAGGCCACCCCCTCCTTGGAGCACCACCTCCTTCCTACCTGCGCTCCTCTGAACCTGGGCTGTCTCTGCACCTGCCATGGCTCCCCACACCCAGTGTCTTATGCAGCACTGACGGGGACAGGGCCCTGAGGGCTCAGTGCTGACATGAACGGGCACTTTGGCGGGGCTGGACAGCGCTGGGAGCTTTGGTGGGCAACACTCCCCGTGCAGCGGCCGTTCAGGTCCCTGTTTGTTATTCACAGAGTGCCATTTCATGACAGTTAGAAGGAACAGTTGTCACAGTCCAAGCTGCATGTGGCCAGTGCATGGTGTGTCCATGGACATGGGTCTTCTCTGTGTGTCCGTGGACGTGGGTCTGCTCTGTGTGTCCGTGGACATGGGTCTGCTCCGTGTGTCCACCCATGCTGCACTCAGCGGTCTCCCCACACTGCATGGAGGGGTGTCCCATGGATGTGGGTCTGCTCTGTGTGTCCATGGGTCTGCTCTGTGTGTCCGTGGGTCTGCTCCATGTGTCCGTGGGTCTGCTCCGTGTGTCCGTGGGTCTGCTCCGTGTGCCCGTGGATGTGGGTCTGCTCCATGTGTCCGTGGGTCTGCTCCGTGTGTCCGTGGACGTGGGTCTGCTCTGTGTGTCCATGGGTCTGCTCTGTGTGCCCGTGGGTCTGCTCTGTGTGTCCATGGGTCTGCTCCGTGTGTCCGTGGGTCTGCTCCGTGTGTCCGTGGACATGGGTCTGCTCTATGTGTCCGTGGACGTGGGTCTGCTCTGTGTGTTCATGGGTTGGCTCCATGTGTCCGTGGACACGGGTCTGTTCCATGTGTCCGTGGACGTGGGTCTGCTCCATGTGTCTGTGGGTCTGCTCCGTGTGTCCGTGGACGTGGGTCTGCTCTGTGTGTCCATGGGTCTGCTCTGTGTGTCCGTGGGTCTGCTCTGTGTGTCCGTGGGTCTGCTCTGTGTGTCCATGGGTCTGCTCTGTGTGTCCATGGGTCTGCTCTGTGTGTCCGTGGGTCTGCTCTGTGTGTCCATGGGTCTGCTCCGTGGACGTGGGTCTGCTCCTTGTGTCCGTGGACGTGGGTCTGCTCCGTGTGTCCGTGGACGTGGGTCTGCTCTGTGTGTCCATGGGTTGGCTCCATGTGTCCGTGGACACGGGTCTGTTCCGTGTGTCCGTGGGTCTGCTCCGTGTGTCCGTGGACGTGGGTCTGCTCTGTGTGTCCGTGGACGTGGGTCTGCTCCATGTGTCTGTGGGTCTGCTCCGTGTGTCCGTGGGTCTGCTCTGTGTGTCCATGGGTCTGCTCTGTGTGTCCATGGGTCTGCTCCGTGTGTCCGTGGACGTGGGTCTGCTCTGTGTGTCCATGGGTCTGCTCTGTGTGTCCGTGGGTCTGCTCTGTGTGTCCATGGGTCTGCTCTGTGTGTCCATGGGTCTGCTCCGTGTGTCCGTGGACGTGGGTCTGCTCCGTGTGTCCGTGGACGTGGGTCTGCTCCGTGTGTCCGTGGACGTGGGTCTGCTCCGTGTGTCCGTGGGTCTGCTCCGTGTGTCCGCCCATGCTGCACTCAGCAGCCTCCCCACTCTGCACCTCATTCCCACACTCCACCATTGGACAAGGACACAGGTGCTCTCACACCTCTTCTCATCCACAGGCTCTCCTCGTGGGTGCGTCCTAGCCTCTCACCATCCAGGTTCAACCAAAGGCCAGTGCCTGGCAGCCTGTGGGGGCCACAGCAGCACATGTGCGAGGAGCCCTCATGGGATTGTGTGTGAGCGACATGGCCCTCGGTTCCTCCTCTATCCGCCCCTCAGGGACATGTCCCCCCAGCCCCCAACTGCATCCTGGGCCTCCTGTGGAACCCAGCCCTGGACCACACTGCAGCCTCCCCCAAGCCAGCACCCCCTGCAACCTCCATCAAGAGGATGCTGTCCATGCCCTCAGGAGGGTCCGGGCAGCAGGGCACCCCCTCCCCAAGTCCTGCATCCCCTGGGTGTGTCAGGAACCCTTGCCCCCCCCCCCCATCTACTGCCTCACTAGCTTTCGTCTCTTTCTGATCCTCACTGGGGTGTAGCCAGGGCACTCTCCCAGGGCATGGTCTCGACAACTGTCCTCCCACGTGGTCAAGGTGACCTCTGCTCCTTAGTCCAGCCCGGAGGGACAGCATGGCTCCTCCCTGGGAGCCGCTGTGAACACTGACCAGGGATTCTGAGGTGGCGGCTCTCGCCTCTCAAAGGTCATTATCTTGCTTGCCCCAGGTAACTCAGTTTTGCTGCCAGTAGTCACTGGTAATCAGAAAATGGAGCCTCCTTTGGGGGCTCATGGGTTGAGCACTGAACAAGAGAAGTGTGGGATCCATGAGGGCCTGGCTGTGTGTGTGGACAGCGGCACCTGCTGGCTGCTCTGGGGACTGCACGATTGTGTTGCAGCTCTGTGGACAGAGTCGGAATCTCCCAAGAAGTGACCATAGCTATAGGGGGCATGATCTCCTGGGTCTGCTTGGCTCCTGAAGGGGCCAGGAGTGGTGGGAGATGGGGAGCCCCTAGGTGATGGGGTGGTGGAAGGTGGGGGAACCCTAGGTGATGGGGTGGTGGGAGGCAGCAAATCCCAACATGAGAGTGGTGGGAGATGGGGGAACACCTAGGTTACGGGGTTGTGGGAGATGGGGAGCCCCTAGGTGATGGGGTGGTGGAAGGTGGGGGAACGCTAGGTGATGGGGTGGTGGGAGGCAGCAAACCCCAACATGAGAGTGGTGGGAAATGGGGGAACCCTAGGTTACGGGGTGGTGGAAGGTGGGGGAACCCTAGGTGATGGGGTGGTGGGAGGCAGCGAACCCCTAGGTGATGGGGTGGTGGGAGGCAGCGAACCCCTAGGTGATGGGGTGGTGGGAGACGGGGACCCCAAGTGATGGGGTGGTGGGAGGCAGTGAACCCCAACATGACAGAGTGGTGGGAGACGGGGAGCCCTGAGGTGGTGGGGAAAGTGGCAGAGCTGAAGGCCGTGAACAGAGACTCACACAGCAGGGGGCCAGTGCTGTAGGGGCAAGCTGGGCCTGCTGCTTCCCTGCCTCACTTCTGAGATGCTTCTGCAGCCTGGGACTTCCTTACCTCCCTGGAACCTAGGCCAGAAGCATGAACAGCTTTGCCAAGGGCAGGGTCAGTCCCATGTGGCTGGTCCCACCCTGGTGGGCCTGGCCTTCCCAGTAGGTGGAACCTCATGGTGTCGTCCCTCCCCACTGGAGACCGTCTCTCCTGCAGGCCAGGAAGCCCCAGAGGCTCAGGGCCAGGGACGGGTCTTGGGTACCAGCTGCTGCACCTTCTCTCTCCAGGTGACGCCATCTGGACCCCGTCCATCCTTGCTCACAGCACCCTTGGTGCTGTACGTCACGCCCAGCTGCACTTTGGGACAGACATGGAGACCAAGGTCTCGGAAGGTGGTCTGAACGTGACCCTGACGATCCGTCTGCTGATGCATGGGAAGGTAACAGGAGTGTGGTCTGCTAAGAGGGAGGGGGTCAGCCCGGCTGGGGCATGGCCAGGCTGTCATCAGAGACGTACAAAGCAGCGATGACACTTTGCCAGGGGGCGCCTCGAGACAAGGCCAAGGCCCCACTCTGACTGTCCTGCCTGCAGGCGTGGGCCCGGTGCCCCATGAGTGTGCTGGCAGCATGGTGCACACACACTGGCCTCCTGTGTGTCCACCACCCAGTGCAAGGTGCCCAGGCAGAGCCATGCAGATCTTCCCGGTTCCCTCTCTGTGGCGCTGCTCGATGTGCAGTCACACCCATGCCCTGGGGTGAATCCTGTCTGCACATTGTGTCTGCGGTGCGTCCTCACCCGGGCTGGCTCAGGTCCCCCGCCCTCGGCTCGGATAGTGCACTGGCCTTCCTGTTGGCCCAGGCGGTGCGGTGCTGGTCGCTAGTGGCTGGAAGGGACATTCTGTGGGCCACCAGACTCACATCCGTCCACTCTTCTGTCCACGTCTTGGTGGACTCGGGCTGTGATTCTCTCCCTGTCCCCATCTCTCTCAACACTTTCCCACTTCAGTTTTGTCCTGATTTGACTGGGTGCTGTGCACAGTTCCATGTGCACCGCCTGGCACATCCTGACCTTCCCTCCCTGGGTCCTAGGACCTTCCTTGATCCCTCTGTGGACAGTGACCCAGAACACCAGTGCCGCAAGTGTGTCTCCGTGGTCGTGCCCATATGCAGCCCTGGGATCTAACACCTCGGCTTGGGCCCACAGCACTGGGCTATCCAGCTCTTGTCCAGTTTTGTGTCAAGACGCTGCCTGTGGTGTCATGGGGAGGCTGGCACAGGGCTGGGCTTCAGTGCCTGTCACTGCTAAAAGGGCACTCCCACCCTGCTGGGATGGCGAGAGAACAGCCACGCCCTGCCCAGCACCACACGTGGGCACATGACATCAGTGTCCAGGTCCCATCTCCAGCAGCAACAGGAGCCAGGTCTGCTGCTGTTCCGGGAGGGAGGGGCATGCCAGGTGATGCAGGGTCGTGCCATGCTGCACAGCGCACCCCCCCCCGCCCCGGCTCCGAGAAGGCTGGTCCTTGTGGTAAGGGGAGTGAGTCAGACTGGGAAAGGGACAGTTTTCCACGGCAGAGAGCCTGCCAGCTGCTCCGCCTGGTGTGGAGGCCGGATCAGCTCCTTTTCGGAGTCTCTCACTGGGCTGGCAGGTGCGACCTCTGGCTGGGCTTGACTGGGCTTAAATGCATATGTGATGCCTTCTGAACTGTGCATCTAGAAAACAGCTACTCCGCCCCGGTGCAGAGGCAGCCTCCTCCTGTGGCCTGACATGAGTCCCCCTCTCAGGACTCTAGGGGGTGAGGCACTGGCCCCCGGTGGGCGTGTCCTTGAGTTGCTCCTCCCACCGCTTTGTGACATCGTCTTTCTCTGGTTTCCCTACAGGAAGTTGGAAGCATCATTGGCAAGGTAACTATTGAACAAATTCTCCTTTTCTTGGGGTCTATGTGAGGAGACTGAGGACAGTAGCTATCTCAGTGCTGGGTGGTACTCAGTAGGTACCCAGTACCATGCTGGGTGACATAGGGCTCCCATGGGAGCACCACTGTTGTACTGACCTGTGGGTATCCCCTCCTGCTTTAAAACATGCCCCTGGGCACACCTTGGCACAGCCCCATGGGAGCTTGCTGTGGGCACACCCCTGGGCACACCTTGGCATAGCCCCGCGGGAGCTTGCTGCGAGCAGACCCCTGGGCACACCTTGGCACAGCCCCCCCAGGTCCTCCTTCCCAGGTCGTTGCTGTGAGGATACTTCCTGACTGCGGTCTGAGCCGGCTGTGGTCAGTGGCAGTGAGGGTGGGGAACCCTGTGCTTCCAGTCAGAAGGGAAGGCATGCGCTCATGGGGAAGCTCAGGGTCGCTTTGGAGGGAGGAGACCCCGTGGTGAGCAGCTACTCCCTGGCTTGGTTGCATGGTCACCCCCTCTGCGGGTCCCTCCATCCTCCATACTGTGGGGCTTCTGGGGATGTCTCTGGGAGTCGCGCCCTTACATGCCCTGTACACCTTTTGCCAAGGACCTGCAGGCACAGGGCCCCCTGCCCGTCCTGGCCAGCTGTCCCCTGACAAGAGCAGTCTCCCCCTCCCTCAAGGTGGTGGTGAGAATGTGCCCTGCAGAGGGGCAGCACGCAGCTCCGCACGGTCCACACTGGCTGGTTGAGCTCCGGGCCAGGTCCACAGCTCGGTGCTGGCTGAGCTCTGTGCTTCCCTTACTTCTTTCCTGTATCTAATCTTTATTCCAGAAAGGAGAGACTGTGAAGAAGATGCGTGAGGAGGTGAGCATGGCTCCCCGGGGGAGACTCTGTGCCTGGCAGGGTAGGACATCGAGGCTGGAGGGTCTCAGGGGTTCTGCCCATGCCCTCAGGGGCCTGCTGGTATCCTGCCCCCACATGCAGGGATGGGATCTCTGCCTCAGGGCTCTGAAAGGCCCACAGGGACAAGGGCCATCCCCGCTGACACTGGACATGGGCTGTATGCTAAGATCCTCTAAAGGAGGTCCCTGAAAGGCGTCACTGCTGAGGGCTGAGGCTTGCCAGGCGGGGCCAGGTAGTTACGGTGCTGGCCTGTGGTTCGATTCTGGCTTTGGGCTTGTTTTGCTCCCACTGCAGAGTGGGGCAAGGATCAACATCTCAGAAGGAAACTGCCCAGAGAGGATCGTGACCATCACAGGCCCAACGGATGCCATATTCAAGGCCTTTGCAATGATCGCATACAAGTTTGAGGAGGTAAGCAGTGGCTGTCCCATGCCTCCGGCCTGGTGGTGGGCTGGCCCGATCCCCAGCAGGCTCTCCAGGCACAGGGTCAGTCCAGCCTGCCCAGATGTCCTGCTCATTCACAGGGCCTCTCCCTTAGCTTCTCTGCCCCATCGTGATCCACCTGAGGGAAGGCGAGCACCTCCTCCTCAAGCCAGCCACTCTGGCGTGAGCATGGTGAGAGGCCCGTCTCACTCACCTGCACCTACACATGCAGTGTGGTTTTACAGCAATCTCCAAGTCTCACCCAGGGCACACTGCGACCACTGATGCCCACCCAGTGAGCAGCCAGCCCTGTGACATGGGCCTTGATGTTCTGGCTGGCCTTGCCCTGGTCTCAGCAGTGGGCGTCTCCAGGAGGGTGTGTAGCTTGGTTTAGTTCCTGAGGAACATAAGCCATTAGTCTGGGTGCTAAGGACACGGTGACCTGGCGCCAGGAGAGGTGGCCCATGGCAGAGGCACATGAAGACCTGGGAAGGAGCTGCTGGTCACCGTGTGGGGCTAGGGTCGAGGCCAGTGTGGGCTGCTCGTGTCCCCGGCATTCCATGATTGTCGTTACATTTGAATTTAGAATTGTCGGTCAGCAGACTTCAGTAACTGGTCATCTTCTGGGGGGTGGACACCAGCAGGCAGTCTGTTTAGTCAGTTGCTTGTGTAGAGGCAGGTAGAGACTTGCCCTTCTGGTTTCCACCTTCAAGTCCAAGTCAATGCCAGACTAGCGCCCTGAGCTGCCACCCTGGCCAGCAGCACCTAAGGCCTGGCTCTCAGGAGACCTGGCCCTTCCTGGGGCCTCTCTCAGGCTTCAGGTTTATGGTGGAAGGAGTCAAAGACGTGTAGCTCAGGTGACCTGGGGCCCCCGACGGCCGAGAGAGCCCTAAGCCTTCAGTAGTGACCGCTCTGGCCAGGTTTCACGGAAGCTGAGTCCAGCTGTGGCCTGAGGTCTGGGTGTTGTATCACCTGTCACATGAGGCAACCAACCCAGGCGACTTTGTACAGTTACTGTGGAAAGGCAGCAGGGAGCACCTGGAGAAAGAGGCCAGAGTCCTGTGGTCCTGGCTGCCATCACCTGCTCACTGCTCGTTGGCCAAAGGGTTCCATGCCAGAGCCACCTGCTGGTACCACCTGCTACTTGAGTTGCCAACTCCCACTTGGGTCCATTTGTGTCCTGAGCATCGGAACATGGACCAGATCAACCTGCGGCTGAAGAGGAGCCCTGTGGCTCCACTGCCTTCTGTGACAGGCACCTTCCGTGTCCCTCCTCAGGACATCATCAGCTCCATGAGCAACAGCCCTGCCACCAGCAAGCCACCGGTCACCCTGAGGCTGGTGGTCCCGGCCAGCCAGTGCGGCTCGCTCATTGGCAAAGGCGGCTCCAAGATCAAGGAGATGAGGGAGGTAACAGGATGTTCCCTGCCTGGAAGGGAGAGGGTGCCTGCTCTGGGCAGCAAAGCAGACCACTGCACGCCACGGGCTCCACAGCAGTCCTGCAGGCCCTGGCAGATCAGAGCATCTCAGGGACAGGAAGTCCAGAGGACGTGTAGACCCACATTAACAGACTGTGGGTGGGCCTCGTTCATACAGCAGGCCTGTGGTGGGGACAGAGCCGGGGTCCCCTGACCGACTGTGGGTGGGCCTTGTTCATATAGGAGGTTAGGTCTGTGCTGGAATGGACCCATGTCCGTGAGAATGCTCCAACCGGTGTCACTCACGGGGCCAGGGCTACTCCATCTGCTGAGGGAATACCTGTGTTTGTGGAGAGACGGGAGGGGTGCCAGGAGGGGAGGGGACCGCACGGGGTGAAGGGGTGACTTTGAGGGTGGTGGGAGAGCAGGTGCGGCTTCCGTGCTGGCTGGGCCTGCTAGCCACATGTCTACTGAAGTCCTGCATAGTGCTGACCGCTCCGGCCTGCGCTCCTGGCCCCACCCGATGTGTAGTCTCTACAGTCCACAGGTGCCCAGGTCCAGGTGGCCGGGGACATGCTGCCCAACTCCACGGAGCGGGCGGTGACCATCTCGGGGACCCCGGATGCCATCATCCAGTGTGTCAAGCAGATCTGTGTGGTCATGCTGGAGGTACAGTCTGCGCCCCACGGGCCGGCGCGCTCTGCCCGTGGCTCCCCAGCATCACCTCCCAGGGTTGGGGTGCCTCAGGTGCCACAGGGCAGGGGCTGGGACGGGACGGGGCACACTGCTCCCTCAGTGGATGCCCTGTCACTCGGCCAGGGTCGGGGAGCGGGAAGGGAGGAGTGAGCCACCCCTGCACTCAGGGACTTGGACAGGAAGTTGTGAGTTCCAAGGAGAGAGAGATTCAGGAATTCCAGGGCCCAGATCTACCTCGCAGGGCTTTCCCTGGGAGGAAGGCCAGACTGGAGGCTCCAGGTGACTCAGCCACATCCTCAAGTGGAGAATGGAAATGGGACGGCTCAGAGATGCCAGGTGGGCACCAATGAGCAAGAAAACCTCCCTCAAATGTGGGAGGAAGACAAGGCCATGACATGGAGTTTGAATCCGTCCCCACTGACGTGTCTGGCTGCTAACCTCTGTGGGTGCCTTGGAGGACTTGTCCCAGCCAGGTGCCAGGCCACTCACCCCCAGCTCTGCCAGGGACCCTCATGGCCGGAGTGCCAGGCCACTCACCCCCAGCTCTGCCAGGGACCCTCATGACCAGAGTGCCAGGCCGCTTATCCCCAGCTCTGCCAGGGACCCTCACGGCCAGGGTGTCAGGCCACTCACCCCCAGTTCTGCCAGGGCCCCCTCCTGGCCCCTCCCTCATGGCTGCAGCTGCCTCTCTAAGGAAAGTGCAAGTATTTGCTTTCCTGAAGTAAAATAGCACTGCAGAGTCAAAAATGTTGTCTTAAACGTCCTCCTTCTGAAACTTTCCCCACATTCCTAGTCGAACTGAGCATGTGGTGCCAGTCCCCAGTTGCTGGCCCATGGCTGGAGGGGATGGTCCTGCCAGCTGGGCTGCATGGGTGCCACCTGGCCGGAGGATTCCTGGTTCAGGCCCACACATGAAGGAAGCGAGGACACAAACCGTATCTGTGATGTGCAGGACAGTCGCTAATGACAAGGCTTGCCTGGTGTGGCCCCTCGGTGGCACGCTGGCCTCACAGGCCACGGCACAGCAGTACTCACTGCCTGCTCGCGGAACTTGACGTTGAAGTGAGCCAGTGGGTCTGTGCATGGTGAACAAGAGGGCCAGCCGTGTGCTGGGCTGTGATGCTGTCACAGCTCATACAGGCCAGAGGGGAGCAGAAGTCACACCACAAACAACTCGGTCCATGAAAGAAACTCAACTAAATCCCACAGTAGCTCTACAAATCCTCTTTGCTGACCCCAGCTCAGAGCAGGGTTGGGCGTGGCGCGTGCTCTGTGCCCTGGAAGTGAGGAAGGTATGCTGGGGCCTGGGAGGATGGCACCACCAGAGCTGCCAGAAGCCACCACTCCAGGGCAGCACGGGCCTGTAGCCTCGCTCGCTCCTCTTCCAGGGCATGTTGGGAAAGAACAGGCTTGGAAAGCCAGTCACTTGGGGCCAGGAGGATTGGTGGGGAGATGCTGGCCCTGTGAGGGATGTGAGCAAGATGACGCAGACATGTCTCGGGTTTATTAGGGAGTCTTTATTACCCAAGCTTAGTGATAATAGAACACGCTAGAAATAGCAAATCACAAGTCCATATGGCAATCCAACCAATCACAATCCATCCAATCACAATCCAACAAAACATAATCCAACCAATCATAATCCAACCAATCACAATCCAACCAATCATAATCCAACCAATCACAATCCAGCCAATCACAATCCAGCCAATCACAATCCACCCAATCATAATCCACCCAGTCATAATCCACCCAGTCATTACCCCAAGAGAAACAGATGGTCATTACTCTGAAGTCCGTCCGTTAAGCTGAAGACCTATGTCCCAGCTTCCCCAACAATATAAGTTATCCTAAGAGACATGCAACAAGTAACAATGCTGCAGACGCTCACCTTTCCCCGGCTTTTCCACCCACATTCCACTGCTGCTAGGCCTCACCTCCCCTGGAACTCCTGGCAGCACACAAACCAGAAGGAACATTGCAATCTGCCAGAGTCCAGCTGAGGCTGGGACTCACGAGGGTGCGTGGATTCGGTATAGAAAAGAAACAGACCACTACAATTCCAGGATCATAATGGATAATAATGCAAGGAAGCTGTCCCCTTTATTTATACAGAAACAGTCACAAGCTCTGGTAGACATTTTGTGTCATGGTGCTGCAGCCACTGGAATGCACAGGGCGGGCCCTGAGCAGTACAATTACAAAGTTCTCTTTAGGGGCAGTTTGACACAGCTTCAAGGGGGCACCATTTACAACAGGCGAGTGAGGAAGGATCACACATTCCTAGCTAATCTCGGCTTGCCAGCCCCTGCCTGCTCTCCTCGGGTCTGGGCTCCAGCCTCGGCGCCACCTGTGGCAACCAGACCTCGATCTTGAATTCCCTATGGGTTAATAAGGCTGGAGGCTTGGTTTATGGGGATTGGGGCCATTGGCACTAAAGGTCGTGTTGGCCATTAGGCCTGCAGGCTCACACAGTTTATTAGCTAAGCAAGTAAAGCAGGAGTTATAAAGGCAACAAGAATTACAGCTAGCATAGAGCCATGTTTACTCCATTTTGATTTCAACACTACATTCAACAAGTGGGTGCTTTCAAAGATAATTCTGTAAAGTGTTTCACCTTAAGGCAAGGAGTTATCCATTCTGACGTTGCAGCCAGGAATTCCTCAGTAGACAACACATATTAATCAGTAATATACTCCTATTACGATTCTCATTCTACAGCTTATCAGTTAGAGGAGAAAACATCTGCCAGGCCCTGCTGTGCAGCGGGGAGCTCCCCCGGGCAATGCCAAACAGGGGAGCTGTTCTCGTCACACCTTCATGTCTTCCACAGTTACTGCACGGACCCCAGCAGCTGTCTCCTTTGTCCTACCTAAGCAATGTCCTGGGGCAGCCAGAGCAAGGGAAGCACTCGACCAGGCACTCCATCAAGAGTGTGAGCCCCTCCTCATCATGGGCCTTTATAGGGGCTTGTGAGGGGCGTGGTTACACAACAGTGCAATACCACCCCGTCATGGTTACACAACAGTGCAGTACCACCCCGTGATGGTTACACAACAGTGCAGTACCACCCCGTCATGGTTACACAGCAGTGCAGTACCACCCCGTCATGGTTACACAGCAGTGCAGTACCACCCCGTCATGGTTACACAGCAGTGCAGTACCACCCCGTCATGGTTACACAGCAGTGCAGTACCACCCCGTCATGGTTACACAGCAGTGCAGTACCACCCCGTCATGGTTACACAGCAGTGCAGTACCACCCCGTCATGGTTACACAGCAGTGCAGTACCACCCCGTCATGGTTACACAGCAGTGCAGTACCACCCCGTCATGGTTACACAGCAGTGCAGTACCACCCTGTCATGGTTACACAGCAGTGCAGTACCACCCCGTCATGGTTACACAGCAGTGCAGTACCACCCCGTCATGTGATAGATGAGAGTCACAGATGGGCAGGAGCGACCACCCAGGTGGTGGGGGGAGTGGCTGAGGGCTTCCTAAGGATGCAATCAACATTGCATTGGGCCCCACCTTCAGGACAGAGGGCAGGGGACACAGCCACATTCCATTTGCCCACTGTCAAGGGTGCTGGCTATCACTGGCTGCCCCCTGACAGTCCCAGTGTGGGTAAGGAGCTCAGGGAGGGACAGGCAGCACTGGATGGGTCTGCACAGCAAGCCCTGCCTCTTCAGAGATGCCTGCAGGCTGTGCTCCCAGCCAGGATCAAATGAGAGCCCCCCAGACCCTGCCTCTCCCCAGGGCACTGTCAGCACGCCTGGCCTGTTCAGACCCCTTGCAATCTCCCTGCCCCAGGACCTGTGTAGCGGCTCTGGTCTAGTCCTTACTGCCTGCCATTGCGCTCAGGGAATCCCTGCCCACTCCCGTACACAGTGGGTGGGATAGCTGAAGTTCCTCCCGGGTCTGCCAGCAGGGCAGCTCTCCCAGGCTCACCACCCACCTGTGTGCTGGGACTGCACGCCCCAAGGGGATGCCACATAGGAGGCCAGGGGTGCTAGTCACCTCACCAAGGAGAAGGGAGCTTGGCTGGAACATTCTGGAGGATGTTGCTGATCTTGCTACCAGAACTCTGTGTTTCACAGAGTGGCAAGGGGAGTTCTGAGAGACCTCTCCATGGCTGTGGAGTGTGCAGCCCACGCGCTAGGGAGCACCCTCTTGTAACTGTGCAGTGTGTCTGCTCTCACCTCTGGCCCAGCAAAGCGCATGGGGCAGTGGCCGTGGACACTGTGCACCTGAGGGCAGGCTCAGCTTGTCCCGGGGGGATTCCTGTGCAAGGGCCTTGGTACCAGAGGGCCTGAGGAGGGGCCAAGTGGGGGACAGACAGGGCCACAGTGGCTACAAGGGCATTCTCAGGTCAGGGGCTGCTGGAAGGGCAGAGTCCAGGGGGAGATGCGGCTCCGTGTCCCTGCGGGTGAGCTGTGACGGCTGGCTCACTCCTCCCACCCTTGGAGCACCTGGCTGCTGTGGCCGGGGGAGGGGGGACAGGTAGGGGAAGGGACCTGGACCATGCAGTTGCTCTAACCTCTCTCTCCCTCTCCTGTCCCTTCTCCTAGTCCCCACCGAAAGGTGCCACCATCCCCTACCGCCCAAAGCCCGCCTCCACCCCTGTCATTTTTGCAGGTGGTCAGGTAAGAGCCGACCCGCTCGCGGCCTCCACTGCCAACCTCAGCCTTTTACTGCAGCACCCGCCGCTGCCCGTTAGTGCACTCAGGTTTTCTCGCCTTCTCACGTGCACGTGTCCGCCCACGCACGGGACGCAGAGCTCTTCTGGCCAAGCCAGGCTGGAGGGAAGAGGGAGGCCCCCTCACACACAGGGAGGACGCAGTACGGTCAAGGCCCCATCCCTGGCACCCAGGGAGCAGATGCTTCAGGGCGTTCTGGGAGTGTTAAAAGCTCAGGCCCACGGAGAAGAGCCAGCCCCCAGCCACCACCAATGCCCTCCCCAAGAGCCAGGCCCCAGGCAGGTGTCCTTACAAGGACAGAGTCACAGGGGTCACACCCGGCCTCCAGGGTCACACACCCGGCCTCCAGAGCTCACACACCCAACCTCCAGGGCTCACACACCCGGCCTCCAGGGCTCACACAGCTGGCCTCCAGGGCTCACACACCCGGCCTCCAGGGCTCACACAGCTGGCCTCCAGGGCTCACACAGCTGGCCTCCAGGGCTCACACAGCTGGCCTCCAGGGCTCACACAGCTGGCCTCCAGGGCTCACACACCCGGCCTCCAGGGCTCACACACCCAACCTCCAGGGCTCACACACCCGGCCTCCAGGGCTCACACACCCGGCCTCCAGGGCTCACACACCCGGCCTCCAGGGCTCACACACCCGGCCTCCAGGGCTCACACACCCGGCCTCCAGGGCTCACACAGCTGGCCTCCAGGGCTCACACAGCTGGCCTCCAGGGCTCACACACCCGGCCTCCAGGGCTCACACAGCTGGCCTCCAGGGCTCACACACCCGGCCTCCAGGGCTCACACACCCGGCCTCCAGGGCTCACAGACCTAGCCTTTGGGTTCCAGTTGCTGCCCAAAGAGGAGCTGGAAGGGCTGGGAGGGCAGTAGAGCTTATGCAGTGGCCTGTGCTGGCCCAGTAGGGCCTCTGGAGAGCAAGGGGGTGCCCGCCCCACCCCAGGCCCCACAGCCTTTGGAAGCCGGGCTTGGCCTGGAAGAGCTCTGGGTCCAGGAGCGGCAGTGTGTTTGCTCAGGGGAGAGTGGAGACAGGCAGCCCTCTTGGGGTCTTGCGCTGTCACTGGAAGAGAGACAAAGGAGGCAAGTCCAGACCTGCTCATGGTCTTCTCTGTGGAGGAAGGGGGTGTTGGCAGATCCTGCCAGCAGCCTCCATGGCCATCCCTTGAGCCAGGACCACTACACGCAGCAGCACACACTTGCCTCAGCCCCACTTTCCATTCCACAGGCCAGGGGCTTACCAGCACGCAGCCTTGGGGACACGGGACTGCCCAAGGCACCAGGCTGACCTCAGGGACAGGCTGGACTGTCCCCCTGCAAGACGCTTGCCTGTTGATTCATCTCCTTGACTTTCCCCAGGGCTATGACTCGCTGGGTCACTAACCTGGGTGGGCCCGACCTCCCTGTCACACTCCAATCACGCTGGGCCACTTGTTAAAACGTGGACCTTCACCATGGAGAGAAGGGGCACTGTATAAACACGTGGAGTTTGTGACACCACGTTTGGAGTCACGGCCCCATCCTGTGGGGAGCAGCCCCCACGGGGGATCCAGACCCTCACCCCCATCTCTAGGACATGCTGCTGTGTCTGCTAAGATTCCTTTACCTTCTCCGCCAGTGACAGCTCTTGCAGATTCCAAACCTGAGGGAGGGTCTGGCGCTTGGAGGACTGACATGGTCTCCTCCCAAGTGTTCATTGCAGGCCTTTGGTGGCCCAAGATTGGGAGCGACAGCCCGTTCCCGGACCCTTACTCAGCTGCGACTTGGTGTCTCTGCTCTCCCTGGACTGTGGTGCGTTTGTGGTTTGGCTGTGAGTTTCTAGGTCCCCTGGAAGCTCCTTGTGGGGGACCCACGGGGCAGATGAGGCGCTGCCGTCTGCAAGGTCAGAGGGACCAGAGGTAGATAGTCTCCACTGCAGAAGGCAAAGGAAATAACGAGGCTAAACGACACCCCCTGGGACCCTGCCCTGACCCAGAGATGTGCTGTGCCCCACCCCACGGCCCGCCAAGCTTTGATCCTGTACATGATAAGCTAATCGGTCCCCTAACTGATGCACACCCTTGGTCCAGCTTTTACCATATTGAGCCTAGTCACTTTCTCAACTTTTCTCCTTTTTTAGATTTCTTGGGATAAATATTTCCCAAAGTATTTGTTCTGACAGTTGACTGGATTTTCAAGATGTTGATTGCTAGACCTGTCTCTTGGGGAGTAAACCAGGCCATTCTTGGGGTTATCTGCAGAAGAAAAGGGGGGCATGAGTAGCAGCCCGGGCTGCACTGGTTCATCCAGTCCCTTCTGACTGGTACAGGGGCTGGGGCGTGGCCGCCAAGGCATTGTGGTCCCTTTCTGTCTCTGGGAAGATGCTCTGTGCAAGCTCCTGGGAAGGCTGAGGAAGAGGGCTTTCCCCCAGGCCATGTCTTGCAAGGGGAGCTCCCCTGTGTGGTGCAGGCAAGGGGGGCCCCCATGGCCAAGGTGCAGCTGTTTGAGAGAGGGGATCCCCACATGCCTGAGGCCCCTCTGTTTGCAAGGCAGGGGTCCCCCACATGCCTGAGGCCCCTCTGTTTGCAAGGCAGGGATCCTTCGCGTGCCTGAGGCCTGCCCCAGGAGGAGCTGATCCTGTCTCTCTCTCTCTCTCTCTCTCTCTCTAGGCCTACACAATCCAGGGACAGTACGCCATACCCCATCCGGATGTGAGTTTTCATTTTGTCTCCCTCTAACCCTTCTCTTATCATCATTTACGTACCTGCATGCTGCTGTTGACTGCTACTAATATTAATATTACACAATAATATTAATCTCTATTCTCAGTGTCCTGACCTGTGTTGTACCTATATAGCCTTCAATAACCTTTTAACCTCTTAGCACTAATTCTGCTTGTGTTGAGGACTTGGCCTGATATCAAATTATTTCCATTGTCCACTGCAGCCCCAGGTGCCCCTCCTCACATGGGGCGTGAGACAGCACCTGCAGAGTGCTCTCCATGCCACCTGTCTGTGTAGGGACCCTGTGAGAGGGCAGCTCAACTCCTCGGGCCAGGCAGCTGTCAGGGGGCTTCATGGCACCCCGGCCCCACCCCACCGCCAGCACCATGTGGAGAGAGAGGGTCAGGCTGTCAGAAACCGCAGCCCAGCTGCCACAGCCCACGGAGTGCACCTTTCCACTGCGGGCTGAGTGAGGTGCTATGGGGGCTGCAGGCCTTGTGTGCTCAGCAGACTAGAAGAAGGCCCACCTTGCCTGGACACCTTGCCTGCACACCTGCAGGAGCTCAGGCAGCAGGCGGCCTGCACAGGGCACTTGACGGTGCTGTGCCAGCCAGGAGTGGGGCGGTCTGCCCCCAGCACCCAGCTCCTAGAGCAGCTGCGGCTTAGATGTTATGGCAGGGTGGTTTTCCCTTTTGTGGTTGGGGCCGTTTGACCACTGAGTCCCGCCGCCTGGTACAGCCTCCCAGAACTGCCATGGAGACTCTCCATGACCACGAAGGAGAGGCCACAGTGAACCACTCCTTGTGTCACCACTGGGGGTGCCACGGCCACAGTGAACCGCTCCTTGTGCCACCACTGGGGGTGCCACGGCCAGTGAACCACTGCTTGTGTCACCACTGGGGGTGCCATGGCCACAGTGAACCACTCCTTGTGTCACCACTGGGTTGGAACTTGCCTTTGCTGCTGGGCAGCATCAGCTGCAGAGCTGTCTCCCATCACTCTGGAAGAATCCATGGGGATGATCGGCATGTGTAGAATCCGGGTGCAGTCGTTGCCAAGGGTGGGTGATGGCGTCCTCGGGCTCACCACAGGCTGGCTTGGGTACCTCATGGTAAAACGGCCATTGGGGGCAACCCTTGTGCTGCCAGCGAAAGACCCCAGTCTCTGCACTTCCTGCTATAGGAAGCTGCATGCAAGTGGGTGGGAGGAAGCTGGGTAGGAGGGCTCCAGGTCTTGGGGACCCAGAGAGCAGATGACCTGAGAGAGTGGCCAGGGAGGATGTGCTGGTGGGTGCAGGTGGGGTGAGGGGAGGCTGCCGCATGCTGCTAGCAGCAGGAAGTGAGTTTTGAGAAGTCCTCTCCAGCCATGGCTTCCTCTAAAGCCCTGGGCACCTTTGCAGCTGGGCAGTGGAGGGGGCACTGTGGGCCAGGCAGGGATGCTCACCCAGTGAGACCAGAAGGCAGGGCCAGGAGGGTTTTCAGAAGTTCATAAAGCAAGACCTTGAACTGTGAGCCAAAGGTTCCACTTCCTGTCATTCCAGGAAGTTTCTGCTGAGTAGAAAATAAATCTCGACGGCCTTTTCTTTGGAGGAAAATCCTCCAACACTGACAAGGCACTGCCCTGCCGCCCAGCCCATCCAGACACCGAGTCCTTTCATTGCAAGATCAGGACTTGAGTCAGCCATGCTTCTCATGGGCCACGAGCTGCAGACACGCAGTCGGTTGGAAAAGCGGGGCCTGTGCGTCAGGACTAGGCAGGGCCACTGGCATGGTCGGCCGGCACTTTCTGATAGAAAGGGCTGAAAGAAATTCAACATGGAAGCCACGTGGGGCCAGGCCTGGCCTCTGGGGTGTCCCAGCTGCGTCCAGTGCTGAGTCCAGAGCGACATGCACGTGGTGGGCACATGGCAGAAGTAGGATTTAATGTCCAACTCCACAAGGAAATGCAGAGGTGGGCATCCCTGAGGGCACTAGATTACCATGGTAGTGTTGGCCACCTGGCCAGTTCGTGGCTGTGACGGCAGATGCCAGGAGGCAAGCACCCTGTGAGCGTCCCATGACCGGCAGTGGACATTAACAGCTTAGAAGGAGCTTTGGTTAAATTCATGGGAAACAGTGGGTACTGGGGTGTCTGTGAGAGAAGGATTTTGTACTGATGAAGAGCTTGCTGCTCCCGTGTGGCTATCCCAGCGTTCTCACACACGGGGAGCTCCCGGGTGGCTGTCCCAGCGTTCTCACACACGGGGAGCTCCCGGGTGGCTGTCCCAGCGTTCTCACACACGGGGAGCTCCCGGGTGGCTGTCCCAGCGTTCTCACACACGGGGAGCTCCCGGGTGGCTGTCAGCGTTCTCACACACGGGGAGCTCCCGTGTGACTGTCAGCGTTCTCACACACGGGGAGCTCCCGTGTGACTGTCAGCATTCTCACACACGGGGAGCTCCCGTGTGGCTGTCAGCGTTCTCACACACGGGGAGCTCCCGGGTGGCTGTCCCAGGATTCTCACACACGGGGAGCTTCGCAGACTCTGTGTTTCTGTTGGTTTGGACTAGTATGTGTTGCTCTAGCTGCCTCCCTGCTGCAGCCTTGAGTGGTCATGCTGAGGGCTGGCCGTCTGACCACTGGAGAGTAAAGCAGTGTGGCCCTAAAAGCTGGGATAGATGCCCTCCAGGAAGACACTCTTGAACAGCCGCCCCTTAGATTGCTCCCATGTGAGGACACAGCAATCCAGGTCCCTGCCATATTGCAAAGCAGATGCCTGGCCTTCCCAGACACTGGACTAAATGCTGTGTTGATCTCAGACTCCAGGCTGCCTGCTGTGGTTGTGTCCTGGCCTGTCACAGTGACATGGGCGGGCAGCAGGACCCACTCAGACCCCAGGCTCCACACTGTGCACTGAGCCACTCACAGTGACACGGGTGGGCAGCAAGGCACACTCAGAAATGGTAGCTGTCATGCCCTCACACCTTAGCTGTCTCTGGAAAGCATCTGCTCTCTGTCACAGAAGCATGTCACCCCTGACTCATAGGGGCAAGTTGCACAAACCCCATTCAGATGATGTGAAAGTATGTTTCTTGGACACTCTTCACCTCAGAGCTGAGTGTTTTTCCGCCTGGGAAGAAGCATGCCTAATTTGTGCCACGTGAAGAATGCCTGCTAGCTCTGCTCACTGAGTCCTGGTGCACTCAGCAGGTCCTTGTGGTTCCTCACACATCAGCTGTGGAGGGGTGATGAGGTCCTGCTGACGGCAGGCAGAACTTTGGCACTGGGGCCTTTGTCCATCAAGATCTGGGCCAGCATGTTCTCTGGGATGTCTTCATGGCATGTCAGACCAGCTTCAGAGACCAGGGAGAACAGCCCACATCCCAGCACATGAGCCCAGGCCAGCTCAGGGAAGACAGATGGCTATGTTCTCCATTGCATGCAGGGTGTCACCCAGTTTTCTGCTGGAAGAAGTCACAGCTCTTGGGCTTTCTACTCAGGGTGCAATTGTACCCCAGCAGACACAAGCCATGTTGAAAATACACAGTAGCATGCCCTGCTGGATGCTGGCAAGCACCTGCTGGACGTTGGTGGAGCGCCTGCTGGACGCTGGTGGAATGCCTGCTGGACGCTGGTGGAGCGCCTGCTGGACGTTGGTGGAGCGCCTGCTGGACGATGGTGGAGCGCCTGCTGGACATTGGTGAAGCGCCTGCTGGATGTTGGTGGAGCGCCTGCTGGACGTTGGTGGAGCGCCTGCTGGACGTTGGTGGAGCGCCTGCTGGACGTTGGTGGAACGCCTGCTGGACGATGGTGGAGCACCTGCTGGACGTTGGTGGAGCACCTGCTGGACGTTGGTGGAGCGCCTGCTGGACGCTGGTGGAGCGCCTGCTGGACGCTGGTGGAACGCCTGCTGGACGCTGGTGGAACACCTGCTGGACGTTGGTGGAGCACCTGCTGGATGTTGGTGGAGCGCCTGCTGGACGTTGGTGGAGCGCCTGCTGGACAATGGTGAAGCGCCTGCTGTACGTTGGTGGAGCGCCTGCTGGACGCTGGTGGAACACCTGCTGGACGTTGGTGGAACACCTGCTGGACGTTGGTGGAGCACCTGCTGGACGATGGTGGAGCACCTGCTGGACGTTGGTGGAGCGCCTGCTGGACGTTGGTGGAGCACCTGCTGGACGTTGGTGGAGCGCCTGCTGGACGTTGGTGGAGCGCCTGCTGGACGTTGGTGAAGCGCCTGCTGGACGCTGGTGGAGCGCCTGCTGGACGCTGGTGGAGCACCTGCTGGACGCTGGTGGAGCGCCTGCTGGACGCTGGTGGAGCGCCTGCTGGACGCTGGTGGAACGCCTGCTGGACGCTGGTGGAACGCCTGCTGGACGTTGGTGGAGCACCTGCTGGACGTTGGTGGAGCGCCTGCTGGACGTTGGTGGAGCGCCTGCTGGACATTGGTGAAGCGCCTGCTGTACGTTGGTGGAGCGCCTGCTGGACGCTGGTGGAACACCTGCTGGACGTTGGTGGAGCGCCTGCTGGACGCTGGTGGAACACCTGCTGGACGTCGGTGGAGCACCTGCTGGATGTTGGTGGAGCGCCTGCTGGATGTTGGTGGAGCGCCTGCTGGACGATGGTGGAACACCTGCTGGACGTTGGTGGAGCGCCTGCTGGATGTCAGCGCAGTGTGCTGGTGGCCACAGCATGAGGACCTCGGAGTGGGGTCTTGTGGCCACTGCCAGGGTCAGAAGAAGCCTAGGCTCCATGCTGCCCTCCCTGGGAAAGGCCCAGATGCAAGGACAGTGTCTACCGAGTGTGAAGCACCACGGAGTCAGGAGTTAACAGACGATCCGCTCCAGGTCAGAGGCTGTCTGCAGGGAGAATGTCACTCCTGCGCCTTCTCAGTGCGGCCATCTGGGCATCCGGAACACCCTCGCTCGGCGTCCTGCTGTCCAAGGGGATTTGTGGCCGTGGGACAGGGCTGACAGGGATCTCACCTCTCATGTCGTTCTCCGGGCTCTGCGCTTACCCACCGCACACAGGAAGTGCAAACTCAGGAGATGGCACGCAGGGGGACAGCTTGGCTGCTGGGAGCTCGACCTCCCAGGCTCAGCTAAGAAGTCTGTGCCTGGTGAGCTCCTCTGGGTAAAGGGCAGAGATGTGCGTCATGTCATGGGCCACACAGCCAGACCTTGCAGTTTAGGGTCTCGGCCATGGTTGGGGCCCAATGAGCACAGCTGCTGAACTCATGCGTGGGCCCTGGTTTGGGCTTTCTATCCATTGTTCAAATCTGTGGGAGGAGAGTGGGGAACCCCTTGACTACCCGGCAGGGCCTCACGTCCGTGTTTCTGGAGTCAGTGATCAGGGCTGCACTGCTGCCAGAGCAGTGCTGTTGCAGTCTTGAAAGCGGGCAGCCATCCCTGTGGCTTGGCTCCCACAGGCCCCTTCCCTGCCCCACGTCTCTTCTTGGGTTCTTCACTGATCTGCTGAGCTGGTCCAGGCGTGGCTTCGTGGGCCTCTGCACACCATTCCTGCAGCTGCTCCCCTCAGAGCCTCCCCTCTGCACACCATCCCTGCAGCTGCTCCCCTCAGAGCCTCCCCTCTGCACACGCGAGTCCCTGGGGAGCATCCGAGAGCCACCAGGCTAGAGGACTGAGAGGAAGGGCAAGGATCTGACCAGAGCCAGAGCCAGGGGGCTCGATGGAGAGTGATCTTTTCAGAGACATGTCCTGGGCATTTTCCAGACTGAGTAAGAGAAATCAGTTTTCACAGCATGAATCCCGTGAATCCCAAGCAGGATGGATGTGGAAGAAAAAACATCCTAGATACTTCAGAGTAAAATAGCAAGCACCAAAGACAAAAGTTGGATCTTAAAATTAGAATGAGGATGCTGTGAAACAAGGAAGAACCCTGACCGACTTGAGCCAGCAACCATGGAAGCAGGAGAACATGGGGTAATGGAATAATTGTTTGCTTGAAAACCCATTCTAAGAGGGTCTTCCAGGCGGCTCAGGCCACCAAGCCCATGGCAACAGCGTGCTAACGGACACCTTTCGCGAAAACAGAAAATGACCCCAGGAAGACAACTGGAAATGCACGAGGGGCTGGGGAGGCCAGGAAGTGGGAAGCCTTCTGACAGTGAGAATGGGCAGTCTGGAGGCCCAGAGGAGTCTTGATGCAGGTCCACACACAGTGTGGTCAGAGTCAGCAGGCGCAAGGTCAGGCTGCAGGTGGGCAGCGTACACAGACTGGGGAAACTGGATGTAAACTTTGACAGTGACCAGTGGCAAGAAAAGGCATTCACACACCTCCAGGCACATGGACGAGAAGTGTCAAGTGAAGGAGGTTAGAACCATGAGGTGGCTACACAGCCAAGGCCCTTAGGGTCCCAGGAGGCTGACCTGATAGGTGCTTGGTTCACCTGTGACACACGCCACCAGTGGGTTCTGGAACCACTCGTGGTACATGGACCTTAGCTGTGTAACCAGCAGCAGACAAGGGAGAGAACAGAGCAGCCATCCAGGTAGCCAGGTGCAGCCCTGGCAGGCCACAGTGACTGCTGGCCACAGCGGGCACATGGCAGCACTCCTCTGTTTCCTGAGGCCAGCCCAGCAGGGGTGTTGCTGCATCCACAGGACCCACCCAGACGACTCCCACTCCCAAGCCTGGAGATGCGAGACTGGCATGGCTCTGCTGCCTGCACCCTGCTCCCTTGCCATCCTGACCCGTGCAGGGCCACATAAGGGGGATCTTGTGTCACAGTAGCATGGCTGGTAAATCTAGGAGCGTGTGGTAGCTTCTGGTCCAACCACAGGTGACCCTGGACACATGCAGGGCCCACAGATAGCCACACCGCACTCACCTACCCTGGACACATGCAGGGCCCACAGCTATCCACACCACGCTCACCTACCCTGGCTGGAGTGTCTGGTTATGAATAGGAAAGTGTGGAAACAGCCAGGGTCAGCAGACTTGGGAAGCAGCCCCTCCAAGGTCTGGCTGCCCTGAGCCACACCTGCTGGGTCTGCTTGGCCCCTGACCTTGACTGGGGGCTCCTTCCCCTGTCTGGGGAATCTGCAGTGCCCATGCATGCTGGAACCCAGTCCCATGGCACATCCCCCGTGTGGCCCGTGTGGCTTGCTGTGAGCTCCTGGGTCCGCCCAGTGGGGTTCATCGTTTGTGGGCTGGGTTTGGTGTGATTCAGCCACTGCCCTGGCCATGTGACAGGTGGCCATGGTGGCCTGCCGTCATCCCATGATGCTGTTTTGTCCAGAAGGGTCTTTCACTGTGTTCTCTGCTGCTCTCCCATAACACAGGGTCTTCAGTGCCTGGGTGTGTCTGCTCATGTACCCCAGCACTTGCTAGGGTTACGTCTTAAAGTGGCCGCAGATGCCAACCGTACAAAGCAGGATACCTCTGCGACATGCCAGGTGGGAACTCTCAGAGCCAAACCTGACCCTAGTCACTGTCCCCTCACCTGAGCATCCGTGTGCCACATCACCCACGCAGGTCATGAAATAGCCAGGAAGGGGAAACAACCTGGGAGGTGTGGGGGGCTGCTTTTCAAGGTAAGCACCCCACTTTCCTGGGGAGGAAAGGCAGTAGACACAGGACTGCCTCCACCAGCCACTTGCCCACCAGAAGTTCTGTATTAGACTAGGGCCCCAGTGCAGGCGCATGCCCTGGGGAGGTCCGTAGGTGGACAGTTCCCTCCTGCAGCCACACCTACCTCTGTCTTCCATGTTTAGTTGTTCCTGCAAGAAACGGAGCAAGTGCCGGGGTACAGAAGGACGGAACAGCTGTCAACACAGCCAAGGCCTTGGGCACAAGCAGCTTCCAAAGGAGCCCCAGCCCCGCAGAGGCTTCACGTGTCCCCTACCTGAGGCAGTCATGCGGCCTCACCCACAGGAGAGCCCTGTGGGCGTTAGGGGAGCAGGCCAAGGTGCCCAACACCTGCTCTGGCCGTCCCAGGGGTGTGAGCATGAGGTTGTGTACACGGACCGAGTCCTTGGGAGCCCTGCTGGCCTTGCCCTGTGGCTCTCGGCCCCTCCTCCCAGCCCTGGCCAGCCTGCCCTCACAGGTCCTGGGAGAAGGAGGCCCAGCAGGTTCTGGCCAGCGCTGCCAGGGAGCCGAGGAGAAGGACTGCTGGCTGCACCTTGAGCCCCCTTGGTTCCCCCAGGCCAAGTCCTTGAGCTCTGTGGCGTCCGCCATGTGTCCGCATGGCCCCCTCTCTGTGCAAAGTTCTGTGACTGCCATTTTAATTTGGTGTGACTTGTACTCGATGACAATAACCTTCTTAGCTCTCGTGTCCCTCCCGCCCCCAGCAGTTGACCAAGCTCCACCAGTTGGCCATGCAGCAAACCCCCTTTCCTCCCCTCGGACAGACCAACCCCGCTTTCCCCGGTACGTACCCAGCTGCCCTTTGCTGACCTCCTCTTCTCGCCTGGGGACTTTGTGATCTGTCTGTGCAGTACAGTGAGTAGCAGAGGAGCAGCGCATGCCAGGCGTGCCAGGCGTGCCAGGCAGCACAGAGCCACGGCCAGCCGGGGCGGGGGAGGTCGGTCCCTCTCCCGCGTGGGCTGGTTCGTCCCTCGAGGGCCTTGACTGGCCGTGCTGGTAAAGAAATGTCCACCCTTCCAAGGACACACACTTGCTTTGGGGGGCTCTGTGCTCCTCGCAGGCCCCCTTGGTCCCCGTGCAGAGTGCACCCACTGGCCCTGCTGGAGTCCTCTCCATGGGCCGGTGAGCTGGTGCTCGGCTGGGCAGGCGTGGCTGCAGCGCTCAGGAGCTCCTCCTGCCCCAGGACAGCACCCGCTTGCCCTGGGAACACAGGGCCATGAGCAGGCAGTCAGAGGGCCTCCCAGGCCCACACAGAGTGAGAGCCAGACCCCAGGCCAGCCGGTGAGCACCCACCCACACCCAGTCATATTTTGAGCTTCCCTAGCTTATCTCCTTGAGGGCAAACATTAAATCTGTCTCTTCTTTGCTCTCCAGCAGAAAAGCTGCCTTTACACTCCTCCGAAGAAGCTCAAAATCTGATGGGCCAGTCGCCAGGTAAAGCAGAAGTACCCTGATGGAGGGAGAGCAGGCAGGGGGCCCGTCCAGGGCACAGGGGTGGTCTCACCCTGATGGAGGGGAGCAGGCAGGGGGCTGTGCAGGGCAGAAGGGCAACCTCACTTGTCCCTGCATCCCAGGAACACATGGCCCAGCACTAGGTCTGTGTGCAGCTAGCTGTCTCCAGCAGCTGCCAAGCTCCACAGTGGTGGGTGGGGCCACTACCAACTCCTAGGCAGTGTCTGAACCAGGGCACAGCACAGCCACCCCAAGTGAATGCAGGGTGAGGCCCTGGGGTGCTGTCATGGGTGCAGCTGGCAATGCAGCATAGGGGAGCATGGAGCAAGAACGTGGCCTGGGTGTGTGGCGTTTAAGTGTCTCCCACCCTTGGGAGAAGGGTTCGCCTGTGCTGGTCAGTGTTGAGTGACTGTGCTAAGATGTCGCAGAGCTGTGGACGGTGGGGCCGAGGGCGTGGGCTTAGGGCTGTTGATCTGAAGAGCCTTGGGGAAGTCACAGCTTGGGCCTGAGTAGGTCCCCTGTGAGACTGTGCCCTCTCCACCTGACCCGGGCCACAGAACACGGCCACGTGACATCCCCCCACACACGCTCCATGGCAGGGGAAGTGCGGAGCGCGGTGAGGAAGGCGACTGCTCTGTGGGCGGCAGATGCCCGGAGATGGGTGGCGCCCTGGCAGGCAGCACTGGGGCCTCCTGTGTGGGATTTTCATCCTCCTCCTCCAAGTGCACTTGCAGCAAGGAGCTTGTCCTGAGATGAGTGAACGTGGTTCCCTGGCGTGACGTCCTCCTGTGCTCGGGTGCTGTGTGGCCAGGGCCTGGAGAGCACTCAGGGAGGCCCTTAAAGGCCACCATTAGGCACTGGTCCTGGTCACAAGCCACTGACTGTTGTCCTATTAAGAGACGAAGACAGCAGAAGGAAGAGAGAAGCAAAGGCTGGCTTGGAGCTGGGGACAGAGCAGGGCCGCTTTGGAGATGTGCAGGCATCAGAGACCTGCTGGGGGTGGGGGGGTGGGAGAGTGATGGGACCAGGGGAGAAGGGAGCAGGGCTCAGGTTCTGGAACATTCTGAAGGTCTGAGATGGCTGCCACTTGTGGAGGAAGTGGGGGTGCTGAGCACGGAGCCCCAGCCCAGGAACTGGCTTGGCCTTGCCCCGCGACACAGTGCACTGCTGCCACCTCTGTGCACTCTGTGGTCACTGAACGCAGAAGCTGCCTAACCAGGGTCCTAAGTGAGCCCCCCGATGGTTCCTCAACAGAGAACCATGGCTCTCCATGCCCCTGACTGGAGGAACTGCCCACAGTGTGGGGTGGAGGTAGGCACAGGCAGCCGTGCTCAGCCTCTCTACCCAGGTCTGAGGCCTCTGCTGGGCTGACTACGAGCACAGAACATGGCACTTAGCATGATGTGACCAGCACGGCCTGTGCCCCGACGTCCCACGGGGCCTGGGACATGCTGGACTCCCTGTCCTCAGGCCTGGAGGGTGACAGGACAGTTGGGGACTATGATGGTGCGGAAATCATGTGGCTGGAACTGAGTGGACTGTCCTACATGACCTCCCTTCCCTTCTTCTGTGACAAGTGGGGACTCGGGAGGTCAAGGTTAAGCAACAGCTGGGACCCAGGAGCCCATAGAGTCCTGTCTTCTGGCTGTCCTGACCTCTGCCCTCAGCGCCGTTGAGCCCAGCCAGGGGAACGTGGGCCAGGTCCAGCATTCCTGTCAGTTAACCGTGTCTCCTTGGTGTGCCCAGGTCTGGACGCCAGTCCCCCGGCCAGCACTCATGAGCTCACCATTCCCAATGATGTAAGTATGCCCTCACACCCCTAGGCACCCTGATGCACCCTGGCCACCCCAGGGACCCCAGGCCGGGCTCTGAGAGGCCCGGTGGCCCAGCCCCATGAAGACCCTGTGGCCCCTTCCTCCCTGTGCACCCCTGGGATACTGACCGAAAAACGTGTCAGGGGTTTTCAGAGGTTCGTCGGGAGTCGAGTGCTGGAGCTGGGCTGGACACCACCTCCAAGGCCCCACCCCAATGCCAGTCAAGCCCTGAGTGGAGGGCCAGGGGCACCGCTGGGACTGGCCCCGCAGACCTGAGATGGGTTGGATGTCACAGGTGTCACAGCCCTGAGTCGCTCATGTGTCTGTGACCCTGCAGGTGCCCGTCAACACACCCAGCACTCCCTGGGCTGTGCAGGGCTCTGCTCTGGAGTTAGGGCATGGTATCTGTCTCTGGATTGTCCCCAGCCTGAGCAAGAGCTGGACAGTGTGGGTTCCATGGCTTCCTGGGGAGCTGTGGGCCAGCGGGGAAGCCCCGTTTCTGAGGGCTGCCATGGGCCTCGTCCAGGCCACATGGCCTCTGTTCCCTGTGCTCACCGCCACATGTTCTGGGCACCAAGCTGCTGCCAGCCACGCATAAGGCGCCTGCCCTGGCGTGGCTGAGTCACCTGGACTCAGGAGAAGACATCAGAGGAGAAGGGAGGGGAGGGGAGAGGCTGTGCTCACCCCTCCGGTTAAGACAGGCTAGGGTGTGGTGAGGAGGGGTCTGCACCCTTGCAGAGGTGCTGGGTGTGGTGAGGAGGGGTCTGCACCCTTGCAGAGGTGCTGGGTGTGGTGAGGAGGGGTCTGCACCCTTGCAGAGGTGCTGGGTGTGGTGAGGAGGGGTCTGCACCCTTGCAGAGGTGCTGGGTGTGGAGAGGAGGGGTCTGTACCCTTGCAGAGGTTCTGGGTGTGGTGAGGAGGGGTCTGCACCCTTGCAGAGGTGCTGGGTGTGGTGAGGAGGGGTCTGTACCCTTGCAGAGGTGCTGGGTGTGGTGAGGAGGGGTCTGCACCCTTGCAGAGGTGCTGGGTGTGGTGAGGAGGGGTCTGCACCCTTCCAGGGGTGCTGGGTGTGGTGAGGAGGGGTCTGCACCCTTGCAGAGGTGCTGGGTGTGGTGAGGAGGGGTCTGCACCCTTGCAGAGGTGCTGGGTGTGGTGAGGAGGGGTCTGCACCCTTGCAGAGGTGCTGGGTGTGGTGAGGAGGGGTCTGTACCCTTGCAGAGGTGCTGGGTGTGGTGAGGAGGGGTCTGCACCCTTGCAGAGGTGCTGGGTGTGGTGAGGAGGGGTCTGCACCCTTGCAGAGGTGCTGGGTGTGGTGAGGAGGGGTCTGCACCCTTGCAGAGGTGCTGGGTGTGGTGAGGAGGGGTCTGCACCCTTGCAGAGGTGCTGGGTGTGGTGAGGAGGGGTCTGCACCCTTCCAGAGGTGCTGGGTGTGGTGAGACCTCTGTCACCCTGAGAAGCAAGACGGTGGCCTAAGAGTGAGTGCAGTTGGCAGCCCTCCCCAGGGTGACCAGTCAGTCCTTGTGTCCCTCCTGTGCCCTGGCTGAGGCGGTGACCCTCAGGCGCCTCCCTGGGAAGTGGGTCTCCCTCCTGTTTGCCCTGCTGACCCAGTCTCAGCTCTAGCAGCAGAAGCTCCTGCTCTGCCGTCAACCTTGGAGATGCCTGTGTGCTAGGTGGGCAGGCAGCACAGAGACTCCAGCAGCTCCCCGGTCGGGCCTGTCACCAAGGACTGTCCTAGCGGATGTGGCTCCCAGGGGCCACTGCTGGTCCCTGCAGGTTCTCCTCGGTGGTCCCCTCAGTTGGGTAGTCTGTGCAGCTGCCAGGCCCTCAGGCTCCCAGACCAGACAGAGGGTCCTGCTCACCCCTCCATCCCACAATCTACTTCACAGACCCTTACTGTTTTAAGATTTATTTCTTTGAAATAATACAGAGAGAATTATTGTTTGTCTGCTGACTCAATCCCCAGCTGCCCGACCAGCCAGAGCTGGTCCAGTCTAAAGCCAGGAGCCAGAAGCTCCAGCCTGCTCTCCCTACACAGAGATACAGGCGTCCACGGACCTGAGCCGTCTTCCACATTCTCAGGGAGCTGGTCAGAAGTGGAGCATATGGGACTTGAATCAGTGCCAACATGGGGTGCCAGCCAGTCCTGAGCTTCACTCCTGATGCCTACCTTGCCCAGGCTGGCACCCGCAGGCCAGTGCTCTCTGCCCTCAGACAGCCACACATCCTCCAGTTCATCTCTGCTCTGGCTCCAGATGCCACAGCAGTAGGCAGTGGAAATGGGGGCCTCAGCAAAGGATGCAGGCCAGCAAAGCACCCACAGCCCCAGCCTGGAGGCCTTGGGGCCCTTCCCAGGGTCGTAGAACAGAACGCTGTCCCCACATCCCTGAGCTCATGGCATGGGTGGGACCGAAACGCCCTGGGCCAGTGCACGTTGGGCACGGCCAAGCTGGCTCTCTAAGGAATGGCCTCCATCTCTTTTCCAGCTAATAGGCTGCATCATTGGACGCCAAGGGACCAAAATCAATGAAATACGACAGATGTCAGGAGCCCAGATCAAAATTGCCAACGCCACGGAAGGGTCATCGGAGCGTCAGATCACCATCACGGGGACCCCAGCCAACATCAGCCTTGCCCAGTATCTCATCAACGCCAGGTGAGTGGTGCTGGCAGCTGCACCAGACTTGGGGCCCCAGCCTGGCATACCCTCAGGCAGCCTCCTCTTGTCCCTAGGGGAGGCCTTGTTCCTCATTCTCAGAGCACACAGCCCACTGCCAGCCATGGCCCCTGTGCTTGGTGAGGGGCTGTGCCGAGCAGAGTGGTGGCACCAGTGACTCTGCCCTGGCCGGCATGCTCCCTGTCCAGGGGCCTGTGACACTGGCACCTAGGGTCGCAGGGAGCCCACACAGCTCCCTCCACCCACCCAAGGATGGTCTCATGCCAGATCCCCCCAGCCAGGGTGCCTTCCTGGCGGGTCATGTGACCACTGTCCTGGGGCTTCCCCTGACAGCCAAGTGTGGTGGGGGCAGGGTTATAAGACAAGGACACCTGTGCCCCAAGTTTGTGCTTTTCCACCTTCCCTCCCTCCTGATCCAGAGCCTGTGGCTGTCCTGCCTCGGGGCAGGAACCAAGGAGAGGCCTGCTGTTGGCAGACCTGCAGAGAATCCAGGGGCAGGGCTCCCTGAGAGATGGGGGAGCAAGTGTGGGAAGGTTGGGGTGTCAGGTTCCTGGGTCCTGCCCCCAGAATGTCTGACTGTGTCTGCCCGCCACTCCCCAGTGGTGACCGTGAATGGGAGTGTCATGATGTGTCTTCTTTGTGCCCTGTCTTCCAGGCTGACGTCTGAGGTCACCGGGATGGGCGCGCTCTAACCCACCCAGCGTCTCCACCCCTGGGGCTCACACACCATCCAGACCACCTGCTCTTCCTCACGGTTCCCCAGAGAGGATTGCTGACCTGCCCTGTGTGCCCCCGAGAAGCCACACCCTCACTGGGCCTCTGCTGCGTTCCATCCTCTCCCCGACTACACATTACACATTCAATTACGCTCCAGCATCCTCGTGTACTTGTTCTAGATGCTTCGGGGTCTCCCGCTCTGGCCTACACTGAGTTGTTGTCTTCTCCTGGCCTATCTCTGGGCAGCACATCCTGGCAGTCAGGCCCTTCCCAGTCACATCAGCTCATACATTTCCACCTGACTCATGCCAAAACCAGGGGTGTGACAGCAAGGACCCTGGGAGCTAGGTGAATGGGCTGGGTGACTGGGGGCCCTGGGAGCTGGGTGAATGGGCTGGGTGCTGGGGACCAGCTCTCACAGGTGGGCTGGGTGCTGGGGGCCCTGTCACAGGTGGGCTGGATGCTGGGGACCAGCTGTCACAGGTGGGCTGGATGCTGGGGGCCCTGTCACAGGTGGGCTGGATGCTGGGGACCAGCTGTCACAGGTGGGCTGGGTGAATGGGCTGGCCGCTGGGGGCCCTCTGGCACTCGGGAACCCTGGTTTCTTCTGGGGGGCTGAGGGCATGACTCTAGGAGACCCTCAGCAGGACTCAGTTCAGGGAACGTCCTGCCCCACCACGGGGCTCTGGCTTGTTTCTGCCCCATGCACCCAGATCTCTACGTTCCTGCCCCTCCCCAGTGCTGGGCCCTCCCCTGTGCCATGCTCTCTGTCCCTTTGTCGGGGATGGAGGCAGTATTGGCTGCTGGGCACCGTGAAGGAGGGTAAGGAGGCTGCCCACACCTTTGCTATACAGTCCTGGCCCCAGGGCACCACTCACCCCAATCTTGGGGGTCACAGGGCCCTGGAAGGCAGGCGGAGCCTGGCAGATGCAAAGAGCGGCCCCACAGCTAGCCATCCTCAGGAAGATGAGTCAGGACCCACCTCCAGGCACCCATGGGCAAGAGGCTGCTGGAACGGCCCCACCTCCGATGTAGCCTCCTGCAGTGCACTGAGGGTGCAGTGGATTCCTGTCATCCACAGGAGACTCAGATGGTGTCCTGGGCTTCTGGTTCACCCAGCCCTGGCTACTCTGTCCCTTTGGGAAGTGAGCCGGCAGATGCAAATGCGGTACATAGACACACTGCAGCCATCAGGATCAGATGGAGCCTGTCGTGTCCAGGAACATGGCATGTTAGCTGAAGTGAGTGAGGCGGAAGACAGGGCCACGTGCTCCTGGCGTGGGGCGAGGTGAGAGCTCAGAGGTGAGGCTGGAAGCCGAGAGAGCCTCTCGTCTCTGCAGCACAGTGAGGGGACCACGGAGAGTGGCAGTGTATATCCAGCCTGGCTGGCTCCAGCACCAAGAGGTACCCTTCATGGACACAGATGGAGAATTGGCAAGACCTAGACCCCACAAACGTGCAGTTATTGAGTCCCAGGTAAGCACCTGGCCTGAACACACCTGCTCTCCCAGGTGTGCGACTGTCCCCCATCCCTCAACCAACCAGGCAAGGTGCCCACAGTCCCCCCAGCCAGCACTAGCCAGGACTCTTTGCTGGTCCTCCGTGGAGCACCTGGGGGGCTCCTGGGGGCATCTACTGGAGGTGGGACTGGCCCTTCTGCACCGACCAGGGCTTCGCAGTCAGCGCTCACAGCCCGAGGCAGTTGTTTGACTTTTCAATTTGAGGGCCAGCAATCTTTACACAAAACCAAGATTCCTTAATAACTGACTTATTCCTTAATAAATCACTCAAACTGTTAGAGAAACGTGCAAAGGAAGAACACCCAGACGGTATACCAACACCCCATCGAATCATGTCTCCCCGGGACGTTGGCCGGAAGGTTCCTTGAGGAGCTTCTGCGGCCTGATTTCAGGACTGGTTTTGTGTCCAGGGCTGCCTAAGTAAAGGTGTGGTGCGTCCGTGGGGATTTCCACAGAGCTGAGGGCACAACAGCCAGGCTGGCTAGTGAATAGCTTTGATTACACCTATCTGATTGGCCTGTCAAAGTGGCCCCACTTCTGTTCCCTGCGATGGCAGATACGTTGCCTTCTGCTGCCCAGACTATGCAGCTGCCGAGTGATCCAGGTTTCACACGGCAGACCTTGGGCAAGCCCTGGCCTATCCAGGTGAACCCCTTTCACCCCAAGAGCCCACCTACACAGGAGATGACTCAGGGATGGCGACAGGAGAGGGAACTGGCCCAGGAGTCTGCTGACCAGGCTCCTGTGACCCCCACCCCAGCCCCAAACCTTGTGCTCCTTCGGCCTGGGCTAGGGGGGCAGGCAGAACATAGGCTGCAGAGCTCCCTGGAGGCAGGCAGCCCGAGAGCCCAGCCTGTGTCCCTATCCCTGCCCACACTCTGGCTCCTGCAGAGACCAGCATTCCCACCCTGTCCCCTCCCCGTCCTCCTGGGGTCCTGCAGAGACCAGCATCCCCTCCCTGTCCCCCTGGGGTCCTGCAGAGACCAGCATTCCCACCCTGTCCCCTCCCCGTCCTCCTGGGGTCCTGCAGAGACCAACATCCCCTCCCTGTCCTCCTGGGGTCCTGCATGGTGTTGGCATTCTCCACTTGTTTCAGCTTTTCTCTTCCAGCAGCTGGGGAGGTGTCAGTGGGTCTTAGTTGTCACGCCCTGTCTTTAAAGGTTGAAGATGCTTGGTGTAATGAGGATGCTAGCATCTGTCACATCACACGTCCCTGTCTCACTGGGCTAGCCGCGGAAGATGGCGCATCACGAATGGGACGCACCGTCTTTCCCGCAGACTATAAACGTGCAGACGTCTGTCCCTGCCAGGCAGCTGAGAGGCACCACGCAACCCCACGATTATTATCATGCGTGGAATCTTATTTTCAGATCATGATGAATATGGGCCTTTTTTTTTTTCAATTACATTCTGGAAAATTCTGTCTGGGGGCAGGCACTGTGGCACAATGGCTTGTGACGTCAATGGCCGCACCAACCTGGGAGGGCAGCACAGAATGACACCAACATGCAAGATCAGATGGAGCCCCTGGCTGCGGCCGGCCCAGCGCTGGCCCCCCGGGCCATCTGAGGAGTGAACAAGCAAGTAGAAAATTTGTCTCCACTCCTGCTGCATCATGTCTGCAGCACTGTCCTCACACACAGCAAAGGAAAAGCTGGTAATCCAGCTCACATGATGTGTTGAGACTGCATTGCAGTCACCACAGGCACCTGGGTCATTGTCTCCATGTGTGTCACCGTGAGTGCCGTGGCAAACCTAGCACACACTGACCTAGGCGGGCAACTTTCCAGCTCTTAGTACTGAAGGGGAAGCAGCTGGTGTGAGGCCACATAAGACAGCAGGGTCGAAGTGCAGCATCCTAGGAGTGCAAAGTAAGAGGCGCAGTGAGCACTGTGCACACCCAGCACAGGAGGGTCACGAGGACGGTGCACACTCAGCAGGGGAGAGTCAGGAGAGGATGGTGCACACCCGGCAGCGGAGGGCCAGTTAAGGACTGTGCACACCCATGAGCTCCTGTACCTGCTCATGCACGTGGGTCCCTCACTCCCATGCAGTGTTGTGATGGGCCTCCAGGCTCCTGGTCCAACTTGGCCAACCCTGGCTCTGGCAGGCAGTAGAACTGATAGCCAGTGGCTGGGAAGACTGTTTTCTGTTCAAATACTTGAACCTTATTATACTTTCCTTCATTTTATTGGCAAATTAGACCATATTTATGGAGAGAAGATGTGACAAGAGAAAAAGCTTCTGTCTGCTAAACCGATCCTCAGTGGTCCCAACAGCTTGGCACTCCAAAGCCAGGATCCAGGAGCCTCTTCTGGGTCTCCCACATGGGTGCAGGGTCCCAAGGCTGTGGGCCGTCCTTGACTGCTTTCCCAGGCCACAGGCAGGGAGCTGGATGAAAAGTGGAGCAGCCGGGACAGGAACCGACCCCATGTGGGATCCTGTGCTTTCAAAGTGAAGATTTAACAATTGAGCCATTGCACTGGACCCAAAACATGGAAACTTAATATAAAAATTATATGTACTTAGAAATATTGAAACTATTTAAATGGATTCCATAGCAACTTTCTGCTGCTGGTGCTGCTGGTGCTGCTGGTGCTGAGCCGGCCAGACTCCACCTTGGAACTGCCAGCGCCTGCTCAGGAAGCTTCTGGAATGTTCTCTCCTCCTGGGCTCCACACGTGCTGCCCATGTGTCTCGGGCAGAGCAAACAATGACCCAGTGCCCTCATCAGTGCCTTTCCCTCTTGGCTTTTTCTCTCGCTCCGAAGTGTCTCTTTTTCTGGAAACGTGTTCTGCCCTTGGTTCGGTGGTTTTCTCCGTCTCTTCTTCCAGTGCAGGCCCGCACCAGGGCAAGCCTGATGGGATTTCCAGCCAGCCCGGGGCCACTGAGGCAGTGGGTGGGGTCTTCCTGTCCCCCCTCAAGCCGACAGGAGCACCTGCACAGTCAGGAGTGCACCGAGAACGAGGCCGGTCTGCCCCAGCGGCTGGAACTTGGGGCAGGAAGCAGCCCTGATCTACAGGATGTAACCAGGGAGCAGGCAGGGATGGTCACCCAGCATCCAAGCCAGCAGCCCTGCCCTGCCCGTGGCCCGCAGTGCGTCCCCGGCTGCCCTGTGAGGCGGTGTCCAGGGCCAGCCCCAGGCTGTTACAGTTTGTCCGTGGACAGGCCTGCTCTGTAGGCGGCTGGGATGGGTACAGAGTGCTCTCTGCGCCCGTTGGTGTCCAGGACTTTCCAGGTGGGGGCCGGGCCACCAGCCAGGGGAGCAGACACGTGGCTGCAGGGTGTGGCTGGAAATGCTGTGGGTGCTTGGCTGAAGGACCTGGAGGCCAGCTGCCGTCCCACGTGTTGCCCCACACGTCCACGCGTGTCTGCCCCATGGCGACTTTTAAAACACCCAAGACGGGAATTGTGGAAAGTGAAGCGCTGGCGGCTCAGGGGCCTCCACACAGCGC